AGGGTTAAAGGAAAGACAGTATTGGCACTGAAGAAGCTAAACAAGGAAATGGAAGAAGTTCAAATCCGCAGGGACCTGGTACTGGAGGAATGCAGAGCACTACACAAGGAAAAGTTACTTGTTGAAGCTGACAGCAAATTCTTTCTGGAATACCTAGCCCAGAAAAACAAGCACTGTAGACAGCTACATGAAGACCTCTGGAAGGAGTATTTTCAAAAATGTGGGGCCATAGAAAAAAGGAGACAAGAATTATCCTCCAAATATGCAAAGCAAACTTCAGACCTTAAAGCACAACAACTGCAGGGGAAAAAGACACAAGCCAATTTAAAAGAGCAGTTGAAGGCCTTGAAGAACATTTCAAAAATAAAGGAGAAACAGGACATGAGAATAGAGTCCTTAGAAAAGGAGAAAGAGAAAATCAAAGCTGAAACACCACTAAAGGACCAGAAAGCACACTTGCAATTCCTCCAGCAAAAAGCACTCCTGGAGAAGCAACTGACTGATCCATACAAGAAGCAGTCAGGAGAGAGAAAAATATTTATTAAGGCACAGACCTTGGAGTCCATAGCACAGAAGTCTAGTTTTGAGTTCTGCCGTGGGGTCTACAAAGAGAACCTACAGTTACAGGAGGAATTACTGCAGCTACTCGAGGTATCCAAGAAGTTGAAGGCTGCTCGAAGCCAGTTAGAAAACCAGAAACAGCAGCTGGAGCAGGAACAGTGGTATCAGGAATGCTTAATCAGGGGGAAGCAAAGACTGCAAGCAAGGCCTCACTGGTGCCCAAAAGAAGGTGCTACAAAGACCACATTGAGCCCTATCAGCACCAAAAAAGAATTAAATCCAAAGTAATTGCTAAAATAACATGAAATAAGAATTGGAGCAAATATTCTTAGTTACTACATAAACGTACTAAGAAGGCTTTTGGATTGCAGGTTAGTAGGCTAAAATATCCGTTGTGGAAAATCATTTTGATATTTCTCATCACTACAATTTCTAAAACAAGGTTGAATATATTTTCCTGTAGAGAAACAATGTTAAAATATGGGATCATACTCTGTTCCAGGATTCACAGTCCAATAAATCACTGGTCTAGCCTCAGTCTTTCATAAATACAAAAAATACAACTACCTTAAAAGACTAATTTAAAATACTGTTTTACAAGTATTAAGATATTTGGATACCTTTTTTCTTTCTTGAGTCTTGTTCCATTTATTTTCTGTAGCAGCATTTGAAATTCTAAAGATGACAAAAATTCTAAGTATTTCAGGTCATGAGTTTTTTCTTACATATGTACTTTGTGGTACACAAAGTTCCTTTGTAATGTGTATGTTCCATATATTTATGCTCATTTAGAACTAGGACTCAATTTTAAATTAGTGTAGACTTTCTTTTAGAGGAATTGTATTTTTTGCATTTGACTGAGGCTAGACCAGTGATTTATTGGAATGTGAATCCTTGCACATATGAGTATGATCCCATATTTTTTTTTTAATATTTATTTTTCAGTTCTCGGCAGACACAACATCCCTGTTGGTATGTGGTGCTGAGGATCGAACCCGGGTCGCACGCATGCCAGGCGAACACGCTACTGCTTGAGCCACATCCCCAGCCCCTGATCCCATATTTTAACATTGCTTCTCTAATGGAAGATATAATCAACTTTATATTTTCCAGAAAAACTTAAAAATTTCTGAGTTTTTGGGTTCATTCATATGTAAAATAAATTCATTTAAAATTAAATTTTAAAAAATTCTCCCTCAATATGCCTTTAACTTCTGGTTTTAAGTATGTAGTTTATTATTAAACAATGTTTTAACTAAAAATAAAAGCCTACTTATAATTTATACACTGATTTTTATTATTTCAATAACTGGACTTTTTTTTTACCTCATCACTCTTATTTTCCACTTCTATGTCTTATTTATACTAGTGTGCAAATAATAAAACTAGTTTTAATTCAGAAATTAGGACTTTAGACACATGTAGTTGCCTTCACCTAAATATCCCTACTTGTGAGCCAAAATACAGAAAGTCTGAACTTGTAGGCATGGGATTCAAGACAAATTGAAAGCTCTATTTTCTGTGGATGTAAAAACCCCAGGAATGGCCTGGAGTTGTGGCTCACTGGTAGAACACTTGCCTAGCAGATGTGAGGCCCTGGGTTCGATCCTCAGCACTGCATTTAAAGGAAAGGATTCACTGACAACTAGAAAATATAAAAAAAAAAAAAAAAAAAAAAAAAGGAAGACATCTCTCTCAGGCTGATAGTTAGAAAATACTTATTAGGATCTTACATTTATACTATTCTGCTATTAATTTCACTTCTGCCATTGCAGTCCTGAGTATCTTCATTCAGGAGTGGGTAACTTCCATCTGATCTCAGTATTTTAATTTATTATCATTCCAGAGAATGGATTTAATATATTGTTCGTGGCCATTCCTTTCAGAACAAGGGCCTGACATGTAAGGTGAATCTAACCTAGTAAATTACTTTGAAGTTCATACCCCAATGTGAGCAGTAGGCTGGCCAACTAAGATGTCAATCTACTTTTTATCTGAGGAAAATTAAACAGGGTGATTATATTATATAAAGTGTCCGAGATAAAAATTAGGCTGACTTGAATGATAAAGTCTACAGTGCAAACAACTGGGGAAGAAAACATTCCAGGCAGAGGTAACAGTGATTCAGAGGCCCTAAAATCAGAAAAATCTTATTAAGTACAAAGAACAGAAAGGTGCATGTGGCCCAAGTATAGTTGGGGAATGATTAAAGAATATAGGCAAAAGAAGATGAAGCTATTACGAGACAAAAAGTATGTTTTGGGCTGCAGCTTCTGGATACACAGTGGTACTTTTTGCTGGGTAAGAAGTGACTATAGGGTGAAAGAAAATCAAAATTAAGATAAAACAGAAGTAAAATTTCTTAAGGGTTCCCTTTTAAGAAGGAAGTAAGCTGGGCACAGTGGCACTGTCCATAATCCCATAATACTTGGAAGGCTGAGGCAAGATGATCACAAGAAGCCAGGGCAGTGGCTCACACCTGTAATCCCAGTAGCTCAGGAGGCTGAGGCAGGAGCATCATAAATTCAAAGCCAGCTTCGGCAATTTAAGTGAGGCCCTGAGCAACTTAATGAGATCCTGTTGCAAAATTAAAAAAAAAAAAAAAAAAAAAAAAAACCAGGCTAGGGATTGTAGCTCAGTGGTTAAGAATTCCTGGGCTCAATACCTGGTACCAAAAAAAAAAAAACAAAAAAAAAAAAAACAAGTTCAAGGCCAGCCTAGATAATTTAGTGATCCCTATCTCAAAAATTACAAATAAAGAAAGGGCTGGGGATGTAGCTTAGTGATAAGGTTCATTACCCAGCACCACAAAAAAATAAATAACAAAGAGGAGGTAGAATACAGTATTCTTTTTGGTATCAACTATCTTTTAAATATTACAGAAATATTGGGCTGGGGATGTGGCTCAAGCGGTAGGGCGCTCGCCTGGCGTGCGTGCGACCCGGGTTCAATCCTCAGCACCACATACAAACAAAGATGTTGTGTCCACCGAAAATCTAAAAAATAAATGTTAAAATTCTTTCTCTCTCTCTCTAAAAAAAATAAAAAATAAAGGCCTATCAACAACTAAAAATTTTTTWAAAAATTAAATAAATAAATAAATATTACAGAAATATAAAAAAATATATATAGAAAGCTGCAAGTCACAACCTTAAATTACAAATTCAGTTGAAGTCCCTCTAGATTCCAGAAACACTATCCCAAATATAGTGTTTAACATTCCTGTGCATGTTTTCATATTTATAGCAATAAATACTATAGAACATTGTTTTCCATGTTTTTAAACCTTATGTAATCAGTACAAAGTATCTGTAACTTATTTTAACCAGACATCACTTTTGAGATAATTATTCATAATAACAAGAAGCCCTTGCTAATTTTATAGCTTGCATTCCACTGTGTAACTGCCCTGCAATTTATCCATCTTCTTGATGGACAAGGTTATATATTATAGTAGACTAACAAAAAGACCCAAGAATATATAATGTCTCAAATACACATTTATTTCTTGCTTACATAACAGTCTCAGATAAATGTTCTTGGTTGACATATGATTCTCCTTCACAGGGTGACTCAGGGAGTCAACTATCTTCCATTTTGTGTTCTCCCCAACATCATCTGTGTCTAGATAGCAGAAGGGGAAAGGGAGCTTAGAGGTACACTTACTGTCTTCAAACTGCTAGCCTGGAAGGTGATACCTATCACTTACACTCACATTCCATAGAGGGAACTCAACTGGCAAGCCCTTTACTGCCAGAAGACAGGAAAGTGGGAAAAGCAGTCTAGCCATTTGTCCTACAGGCCTATAACTTCAGAAGATGAGAGCAGATTTAGGTGGATAGGTAGTCTGATACACATTTTCAATATTTCTCTATTGTAAACAGTACTGCAATAATCAACCTTGTTCAACTCTCTTGCTAAAGTGAGCAAAACTAATTTCTCTATCTATACCCAGGACCAAAGCTGTTCAGCCTCAGGATTATATTATTACTAGATATTGCCAAATCACTTTCAAAGTGATTAGGCCAATTAACACTCCAAAATTGAGCATGAAAGTTTATACTACTAAACATCCTAGATATACTCAATACCGCCAAACTTAGTTACTGTAATGAATTTTTTTAAAAAACTGAGTAGTGTAATGAGGATGATCTATATTGACTCCTGCTGATCCTCAACCTTGAGAAGCAAACAGAATAGGAGTACTACAAGGGGCCTGGATGAAACAGGACAATATATTTCCTGTATCATTTCACTTTAGCCTCAAATTCTTCATTTGAGGAGTTATAGAACTACTGAGACAATTGCATATGGACTTATTTCAGACTCATCCCCACCTCCAGCCATCTTCTTAGCCCCACATACAGCAAGCACCAGCAAAGAGTCAAGCAGCAGGTCCAGGTCGAAATCAAAAAACAACTGGAAACACCATTCTAAGAGAGAGCCATTTATTTCTTTTGTCATTGCCAAACATTCCCCAAGTCTTACTCACCAGAAATTAACATAGCTTCTTCATTTCTCCTCCCTGACAACCCTCATCTACTGAAAGGTTTTAAGGATGCAACTACCAATAAAAATGTAGTGTAGACATTCCATTTCCTTCACTTGTTTCAAAACTACCTATTCTGGCAGTATCTAATCCAGGTTTCAATGCTCCCTTGTTTGAAAGTGGTCTTCACAAAAGCCCACATGTTAAAGCTATTCAGAGGAGCACAAACAACAGAGTTAAAGGGTGGTAATAGCCTTCAGAATTTGAAAGGTAGTATTCATCCACATCAAGTCTAATTTTTTAAGTGGCATATGCCACAAAATAGGCAAGAATATATAAGACCAACATTTTATGCAAAAGGGGAAAGAGAATCCAGAAACACAATGCTGCTCTAACCAATACTCCAGAGAAAGCCACCCTCAAAGGGGAAGAGTCCATTAAACATTACCAGGTAAGTATGAGGTACAGAAAAAGAACTTTACTTTCCAGCTCCAGATTAATATCTACATCTGGTGTCAAAGTGTCAGAATATAAAGAGGATAGAACTTCATATATAAAAGAGGATAGAAGGACAATATTCTCAGAAAATTCAGACACAGGGTTGTCTAAAGGAATGGATGAGGACTTAGCAGGATTATAGACTAACAAGTGAGGTAAAATCCAGGGCAGAAGGAATGTGCACCATGATTTCCAATCTTAATGGCATTACCAGGAGCAGTAGGCTACTGTGTCAGGGGCATTGTGACATTTCTCAATCCTTAGAATCAAGGGAGCAAAAGCAAGCTTCAGGAGGGCATCATTGCAACAGATGAGACTTCAGGCCCCAGAAAGTTTGGAGCAGTATTTATTGCTTCTACTTTTTTCTTTCTAGTCATTTTAATGTTTGGGCCACATTACTYCTAAGGCTGCTTTTCATGCCTGTGGGTCTAGTTAGTCACTGCTACCTGGTAGAAAGATTTCCCAGTATAACCAGTGGAGGGAGGTTCTAACTTTTTCTTACTAAGTCCTTTTCTTACTTTCAATCCTAAAACCATATTGAGGACACACAACAGCCTCCATAAAGTTTTGCTTCCCAAGAGGACAGGGTAACCTACTATATAAGTGACAACAGTTCTAGCTTCTATAACAATATCACAAATACAAAATGATAAACCAGTATGGTTTTAAAAAATTCGTTTGGAATTGTTTTATAAGCTAGATGATGGAATGGCTACTAAATCAATGGAGCTTCCAAGAACATTCAAACCCCAGGAAGGAAAAGACAACCAAACAGGTTTCTTAATCTTGAATAGGGCAAGAGGGGCATATACTTGGCCTTAAGAGGGAGCTCTTTGGGCAAGAGAAGAGAAAAACAAGAGGACTCCAAAGAGGAATAGTAGGAAAACCTACTAAAAGGGGAAAGAGGGAGAATGAAAGTGAGTTAGTAGAGAAGACAATGAAATTTACACAGGAGAAAGGAGCTGAGAAAGTCACAGCCTTACACGAATAGCTGAAAGCATCTTCGCTCAGCCCCACCACTCAGGCCTCCCCACATAGTTCCCTGTGACAAGAGCATCACATTCACTCTCCTAGGAGCACTTTCACTGACTACCTATTTCCTTCCTCGTTTATGATTCGTCTTTGGGGGCTTTACTTTCTGGAACTGTGCGGGCACTGGCTCCTGCTCTGATTCCTTACAGGAGGTCGACACGACCAGTTCCTCATTATTCCTCCTCTGATCCTTCCCTACTCTAAGACTCAGCTCAGTTTCAGGAAGCTCAATGCCAGGCTGCTGCCGCCTTCTAAGAGACCTTCTGCTCCTGTGCTGCTGCCTCCGCTTTTCTTCTTCCTGCTGCCGCTGCTTTATCTTCATCAGCTTTTCGAAACTTTTGGTGGTTGTTGGATTTACAACAAACCAATCCTAGAGAGGCAGAACAGAAAAGTCATCTAGAGAGAAACACAGAAAGAACATACAGAAGGGGTATAGGAAGAATGAAAGAAAAAACGTGGTTAGGGCATAAAATAGTAAGGAAGAAACAGGTATACAGAGTCATACCTTAGAACTTTATATTTTATTTTTGTTAATATTCTTTTAGTTATAGATGGACACAATACCTTTATTTTTATTTATTTATTTATTTATTTATGTTTATGTGGTACTGAGGATCAAACCTAGGGCCTCATGTGTGGGAGGCAAGTACTCTACCACTGAGCTACAACCCCAGAACTTTATATTTTAAATTGAAGAAACCTAATACATGATTCTGGATACTTTTTGTTGTTGTTGTAGATGAACAGCATGCCTTTATTTTATTTGTTTATTTTTATGCCATGCTAAGGATCGAACCCAGTGCCTCACATGTGCTAGGCAAGCGTTCTGCTACTGAGCTACAGCCCCAATTATGGGTACTTTTAGTAAATGATCTACAAAGTCTTTTTATTGAGCATCATCCCACCCATTTCATTCTTTTGTATAAATCTCATGATGAGATGTAAAGCACTGAGCCACAGAAGATTTTTATTTCATGACAGTGTAGTGAACAAGAACATGATTTTTTTTGTGTGGTGTGGGTGGGGTGGGCCACAGAGGAATGAACCCAGGGGCATTTAACCACTGAGGCACATCCCTAGCCTTTTTTATTTTTCCTTTTGAGACAGGATCTCACTAAGTTGCTTAGGACCTCACTGAATTGCTGAGGTGGCTTTGAACTTGCAATCCTCCTACCTTAGCCTCCCAAACCACTGGGATTACAAGCATGCACCACCACACCAGCCAAGAACATGAACTATGCAGCCAGTGCTCCTCAGTGCAATTCCCAGTTCTGTTTTAGTTATGTAACTATAGGCAAGTTACTTAACCTCTCTGAGCTTCAGTTTAAAAAATTAATGGGTAGGACTAGGGTTGTGACTCAAAGGTAGAGCGTTCACCCAGCATGCGTGAGGCATTGGATTAGATCCTCAGCACCACATAAAATAAAATAAAAGATATTGTGATATGAAAAATTGTGCTCTATAAGTGTAACATGAATTATAATGCATTCTGCCGTCATATATAACAAATTAGAATAAAAAATTAAAAAAAGATAGTGTCCACCTGTAACTAAAAAATAAATATTAAAAAAATTAATGGGTAAGGGATATGAAATCAAATTAGAAAGTATTCTTGCCAAAAATGTAAAAGAATACAAAAAGAACTGAATCTAATCAGTGATGTCATCAATCTTCCAGATCTAACTATCAATTTATATGAAACAGCTAGGATAGAAGAATACCACCAGAGGATGCAATCAGCAAAATCCAGAATATGAGGGGGCTGGGGATGTGGCTCAAGCGGTAGCACGCTCGCCTGGCATGCGTCCGGCCCGGGTCCGATCCTCAGCACCACATACCAACAAAGATGTTGTGTCCGCCGAGAACTGAAAAATAAGTGTTAAAAATTCTCTCTCTCTCACTCTCTCTCTCTCCTCTCTCTTTAAAAAAAAAAAAAAAAAAAATCCAGAATATGAATGATCTAGTTTCTCCAACCAGTAAATGGCAACCAGAAAAAAGCTTCTAGACCTGCATAGTCGAACAGCCACTGCCCACATGTAGCTAATGAGCTCTTGAAATGCGGTCAGTCCAAACTGAAATAATCTTTCAATGAAAAATTTACACCAAATTTCAAGACTTGGCATGAAAAAAATGAAAATATCTCATTCATAATTTATTAATTAATGACATGTTAAAAATAATATTGTGGATATACTGGATTCAATAAAGTATTAAAATTAATTTTACCTGTTTTAATTATATATTTTTAAATGCAGCTGCTAAAAAACTTTATATACATGGCTCACATTCCATATCTATTACAATAGCAAATGCTCTAGATAAAAGCAAAAAATTGCAGTATATGGACCAAATATTAGATTTTGATTTGAATAAGCCAATTCTGAAGGGAAAAAACAAGACAATTATGGGAAATTTAAATAATGACTCAATATATGAAGATACTAAAGAATCACTGTAACTCTTCTTAGGCATAATGATGTTTGTGGATATATGTTTTTAAAAATTTTTATCTTTTAGAGATACATATCAAAAGAATCATTTACACTTAACATGATATATGGAATCTGCAATAATCCTTTATAGCTGTTTTTTTTTTTTTTTTAAAGAGAGAGAATTTTTTTTTTAAAGAGAGAGAGAGACAGAATTTTAATATTTATTTATTTATTTTAGTTTTCGGTGGACACAACATCTTTGTTTGTATGTGGTGCTGAGGATCGAACCCGGGCCGCACACATGCCAGGCGAACGCGCTACCACTTGAGCCACATCCCTAGCCCTCCTTTATAGCTGTTTTATGCAGTATATTAAACAGCATTAAAAATAGGCTGCTAGGGCTGGGAATGTGGCTCAGTGGTAGAGTGCTTGCCTGGCATGAATGAGCCCTGAGTTTGATTCCCAGCACCACAAAATAAATAAATAGAAAAATAGGCTGCTAATAGACATTAGAATACCAGAAAGCATAACAGTGTGTATGGAGATTGTTTGAAACAATAATGTCAAACATGTAAATTCAACATAATTCCCCAATTCCTGATCTGTCTGGATTTAAGAGAAGAGCTTAAGGATGCTCTCAATTATAGTGATTTCATGTATTTTCATAGAAAAACACAATTATGTCTAATTTTAGAGAGTATTTTAGCTTTAGTGTCTCAGTTGGTACCATAGTTACTTTCTTTTGACAGTCCTAGACCATAAAATCAGGGACAAAGTCCACCTCTCTTGCGGCTTACATAGGATTACAAAACCACTATGGGAAAGCAGAGACCTCACCTCAGCATGGACAGAGTTGATGTGATACTTGACACCACTCTCCGATACAAATTCTTTCTGACATAGAAGACACTTGTATTTTCCAGCCACAAAGTTTCCCTATTTCCAAAAGAGAAACAAAATAAAGTTATTGGTAAATTCAGGAACACACACCTGGATTATGTGCAGGGACTGTTAGAGATGAAAAGGGAGATATTATTAGAGCAAAGGAAAAGATCCAAAACAGCAGTATGTTTAGGAAAACCAGCTTAGACTCTCACCAATGCAAATCTGTCCTAATGCAATTCTATTCAAATACCTACCCAACTTCAATAAGACCTGATGTCTTTCTACTTCTATATTATGTACCATGCCACATTTTTGTACTTTCTCAGGTTCCTTTCACTTCACTTTCAGGTTCTTTTGTTCTTCCCCCAAATGAGCAAACTCCCCAAGTTCACCAGAAGCACCAATATGCAATTCTTCCCACTGTAATCCACTGCTGCAAACAGTGTCTTGGAAATCCAGAATTAGAAGAATACCATCCATAATGCCTAGTTTAAGGACTCAAAAACTAGGATCAAGATGACAAACTCCTAAGCATTCCTGGACAGATCTGGTTGGGATGCCTACAACTCCCTTATTGGCTTCAACTGAGACTTCTCTCCCCTCCTGAAGCTTCAGGTTTCCATGGTGCTCATTTTGTGTGAGGAGATACTTCTGAATGAGATTGGAAAGTGGCAGCATTTCCCATGGCTCGTGGGTTGTAGGACACCTGGGTCAACATGGAAAAGATTCAGTGAGGTGAATGGCTGTTAGTCTGACACCCTATCCCATCTCCCATCCCCAGAGGCCATATAGTTCAAATAGGTTTGGAAGATCTTCACCAATCCAGATAAGTACATGTAGCTTTTTTCCCCAGAAAGTTAAGGTCCAATAAGACAGAACAGGTCCAGTGTGGGAGAGGCTCAGAGGGAATCTCTGGTAGGGACTCAGAACTCATGTATTTTTCTCCAAATTCCTTTATTGAGTATGGCGTATAGCTATGTTGGCCTTCTCTGTGTCTTGGGCATACCCTGGAATCCCATCCAACATGAGACCAAGAATCTTTGCAACACAGAAGCCTTTAAAGCAGCCTCTGAAGATAACAGTAAACAGGATGACTAGCTGTTCACCTAAACTGAGTTCTCTTCCATGTCAGACTATTTTAAAGGATATATTAAGATATTAATTTTAAAAAATTACAAACCAATGTACAAGAGCCCAGGTGAGCTTTAAGGCCAGATACACTACTGTAGACAGCCTCACAACCCTGAAAAAGAAAAGAATAAGGTGAAGGCTACACCAAAAACATCCTTCTCTTAGCAATCTGGCCATTTATACGATCAACTGTACATTTAGAAGATCAATATACAGTGCCCCAAAACAAACACAAAATGAATCTACATGTGAGTCACAAAAGCATGAAGGAAAACAAGGAATGCCAATATAATGCAGTGGAAGAACACTTGACTAGCATGCATGAAGCCCTGGATATGATCTCTAAGACTACAGGTGGATCCAAAAAAAGGGAAAAAGAAAAGAAAGTCAATAAATTGTTCAGGAAAGTTTAATCCATTTCTTTTCCTGGTATTTTCTGTGATACTTAATAGAAATACAGAAAATTCCATGTTTAGATTTTTATATATTTTTTTTTTTTTTTTTTTTTAGTTCTCGGTGGACACAACATCTTTTGTTGGTATGTGGTGCTGAGGATCGAACCTGGGCCGCACGCATGCCAGGCGAGCGCGCTACCGCTTGAGCCACATCCCCAGCCCCATATGTTTAGATTTTTTAAAAATCCTTTTTATGTAGTGCAAATGTGTCTCCTACTCCTTTTATTTATTTCTTCCTAAGTATTGCTTATATAGTTGTGATTACAATCTTAAAGATGGCTAAAAAATCTCTGCCCCTCTTGTCATCAAGAAGTGCAGTCTATTTACCCTCCGAGTCTGGGTTGGCCCTGTGATGTTTTTGACCAATACAATGCCATGAAAGTAATGCTGTGAAAATTTAAAGTGAGGCATTCAGAGATATGCAGCTTCTGCTTTCCTGTTCTTAGAACAGTCATTGTGACCCTGCTGGTAGTCCAACTATCCTGCTAAAAAGAGAGGCCAGATGGAGGGCCAGGTTCCCAGCTGAATGCAACTGCAAAGAAGCCATCTGGGACATTCCAGGCCGAGCACTGGCCTGCTCATCTGACAAGAATTATTCATTTACAGAATTGTGAAGAAATAAAAATAACTGTTGTTTTAAGCCACTACAGTTCAAGGGCTTTGTTATGAAGGAATAAATAATTGAAAACAAGAGCAGACCTTCAGAAACATTTACTGAATTAATGAAAGAGAAAGAACTACCTGGTTAGGACACTGAATACGATGATACTTCTTGATATCTGTCTTCCACTTGTGTAGTACTTCCTGGCTGAAGGTAGGTAGCCCAGGGCGAGTATATTTTAACTAGAAGATAAGAAACATTTTATTGCAGGACTGCAACTCCCAATGAAAATATCCCAAAAGCTTCACACCCACCTCTTTAGGTTATATATTTCAGTAATCCACGTTTATCTTCATATAGAAAAACATCTAAGATGTAAGACCCTCTAAAGTACCCAAAACTGACAAATATAAGTGGCTTCATTTAGGCTTAGAAGACTTTTGGATATAAAGTTTTATTGTTGTTAAAACATTCTTCTGTTCTTTTTTTTTTTTTAAAGCTGTACAGCATATACATAGAAATAAAATATTTGAGGGAGGACGACAAAGGGAGGAGGAGCAATAGAGAGTGCACGCACAAGGAGCTGAACACAGTGGTGCACACCTATAATCCCAGCTACTTAAGAGGACGAGGCAGAAGGATCCCAAGTTCCAGGCCAGCCTAGCCTACTTTATTAGACACCATCTCAAAAAATAAAAAGGGCTAGGGATGTAGTTCAATGGTGGAGCACCCCTAGGTTGAATCCCCAGTACCTCGTAAAAGAAGGGAAAAAAGAGACAGGACTATAAAGATGTATTCATATAGTCATTCATATATGTAGATGATAAAAAGAAGCCATAAACTTTTAAATATTAACAGTAGTATTCTCTGGGTAATCAAATTTAGGATGATTTTAATGTTTTTCTCTGTTAATCTGTATTTCTTTTCTTTTTTTTTAGTTATAGTTGAGCACAATATTTTATTTTATTTTTATGTGGTGCTGAGGATCGAACTCAGTGCCTCACACATGCCAGGCGAGCATTCTACCACTGAGCCACAGCCCCAGCCCTTAATCTGTATTTCTATTCTTCAATTATAACATGCTAAATTTTGATATTTTTTAAATTCTAAAACAAAACAACTGAAGTTCAATCTAAAAGATGCAAAGAAACTAGGAAACATAACATGTAATCTTTGCTTATCTGCAAAAGCAGAATAATTTCTAGACCTCCTTTCACATACTTTGACATGAGTTACATGTACAACAACTGCAAGTGGAGCTTTCAGAGACAGCACCTGCAGAGATAGTTCCTGCACAGTCCACCTGGATAAGAGCTTTACTTCTGGCAAGCAGTCTCCATGATTCAACAATAAAGTATCTTAAAAGGAACTGGAACTCTGAGAAAAGCAAATCAAAGCCCAGAGAGGTAATGGGGGAAAAAAAGTAGCTGAAAGAGGCCCTGGTAAAGCTAAACCAGAGCAGAAAGTAGGTATTATTTATAAGCATTTATTCTCTCAGTAGCTAGTACAAATGAGCCCATCTAAAATTCTTTTATGGTGAAAGGGGAATACTTATATAATATTACTTTTATACAATAAACGACCTTAGTTATAAAAATTATGTACTAAGTAGCACTTAAAAATAGACAATGAGGGGCTGGGATATGGCTCAGCAATAGAGTACTCACCTAGCACATGCAAGGCCCTGGGTTAGATCTCAGCACCACATAAAAATAAATAAAAGTATTGTGTCTAACTACAACTAAAAAAGAAATAAAGAATAGAAAATGAGGACAATCTCTGTGAATACACATGGAGTGATTTCTAGGAATGTATTATTGAGTGAAATAGAATAGAGTGTAAAAAAAAACCAGAGCACAGAGTAGGTATGCAAGCTGAGCATAGTGTGCGTAGTGTAAAAAGTGTAAAAAGTTTAAAACTGTTCAAAAAAATGATAGGGGAATGTCAAAGAGACACAGAAAAATAAAAAGAGGGAAATATAGACTTATGATCATCCATCTCATTAAAATGCTTAGAAAGAATAAGCAGAAACTAATGGGTTTGGTTATCTTTGAAGGTGGGTGGGAACAGACAGAAAGAAAAGGAAAATGGAAATGGAATAGTTGGAGGAAGGAGTAGTGACTCTTCTTTTTTTTTTTTTTTTTTTGTTTTATTTTTTTTTGTTTTTTTGTGATTTTTTTTGTGACTCTTCTTGAAGTATATCTTTTTTAAGTCTGACCTAGAAATATGGTAATATTACACAAATTTACAAAAATAAATGATTTAAATTGAGGAAGAGGGGAAAAGCGGGAGAACGCAAATATAAGAGAATAAAACATGAACCTATTACAAATGAGTAGCATAATAAAGGGGGTGAGGAAGAAAAAAAATCAAGCTAAGTAAATTTGGAAAACTGTACTTTTACTATATATTTTATAAGGCTAAGGGTGAAAAAACTGCATGTAAACATTCTCCAGTAATTCTTTTACTCTACAGGGAAATGTGTCAGCAATTCTGAAACTACTGGATGTCATACTAGATTTGAGAAAATGTGTAATGATACTGGACATAACAAGAGTCAGATCTGAGCAGAGTGCAAAAAAAAAAAAAGAGGGAAATATAGACATATGATCATCTATCTCATAAAAACTCCTTTTGGACAAAGGAGTAACAAATAAGGAAGAGGAAAACTAGAATGAAATTTGAGGTGTTGACTGGAATTAAAGGTATTATGACTTTTAATATACATACAGATAGGCATAGAAATAAATATGGATTTTGTGTGCATACACAAATATACAAACATATATACCTTTTAGCTCTAGGTACCAAGAAAGCCCAGAAACAATGAAAGCCCAGTAGGAAAGAGCACACCTACCACTAAAGTCTTAGTTTATAAACATAATCTCTAAAAAGGAAGGAGTGTTCCTTGGAAAATGGTTGATTCCAGATGTGGGCAGGAAAAATGCAAGCTGAGCACAGTGTAAAAAGTTTAAAACTGTTCAAAAAAATGATAGGGGAATGTCAAAGAGACACAGAGGCCCACTTGAAATATCTTTCAAAAGTACCTAAATCTGGGACAATTTGAGCGGCAAAATAAATAATACAATGAATTATACAAAATAATAAGTTAAGTATCTATGAGTATATTGCTGGCATCCCCACATCCTTAGCTTCTGCATGTGCTGAATCGATTAACTATAGATTAAAAATATTCAGAAAAATATTTCATCTGTACTGAACACGTACAGACATTTTTCTAGTCAATATTCCCTAAACAACATACTATAGCAACTATTTACACAGCACTTAGACCATATTGGGTATTATAACTAGTCTAGAGATGATTTAAAGTTATAGGAGGCTGGGTGAGGTAGTGTATGTCTGTAATCCCAGCAAGGGGGCTTACAGGAGGCTGAAGAAGGAGGATGTCAAGTTTGAGGCCAGCCTCAGCAATTTACCCAGGGTATTAGCAACTTCATGAGACCCTGTCTCAAAATAAAAATTAAAAAGGGCTGTGGATGTGGCTCAGTGGTTAAGTGCCCCTGGGCTCAATACCAGCACCAAAATAATTAAAAAACAAATAAGTAAATATAGGACGAAGTACATAGGTTCTATGCAAATATTATGCCACCTGATGTAAGGGGCTTAAGCATTTAAGGATTTGGGTAACTGAGAGGTTCCAGAATCAATCCCCCAGAGATAATGAATGAAGACTATAATGATATAAATTTCAATTAATAATTGTAGAAGAAATGATGGAAACAAAAAAATCTTCGTTAGGTAAATACTATAATAATACTTGTTACAGGCAAAAATCATTAGTATAAACTAATAAGTGGGCAGTATGATAAGATACAGGTTATTTTCATATTCTCAAATCTCCCCACAAAATACCCAGTAATTAAGGAGAAGATTATTTAATTTAACCCTGGAGATATCTGAAAAACACACCTTACCCAATTGATTAGTTACTATTGTCAATAAAAAGACATATCAGGATGCTGAGGCAGGGGGACTGCAAGTTCGAGACCAACCTCAGCAACTTATTGAGGCCCTACAGACTTGCAAGACCCTGTCTCAAAATAAAACCTAAAAAATAGGGCTGGCAATATGGCTCAGTGGTTATGAGATCCTGGATTTAATCCCTGAACCAAAAAAAAAAAGGACATATCAATATCATATACCTTCTGAAATGATGCATAAAGAAGGCCAATATTTCCTGGGTGGTGGTATTGTAGCCAAAAATATAATCCTCAAGCTGATCTTTCAAAATCAGCATACAAATCCATAGTGGGGAAACATTCTATAAAACAGCCCAGTCAGTCTTCTTTAAAAGCATCAAGGACATAGAGACAAAGAGGGGAACCATAAATTGAAGAAAACTAAGGTGATACAATAACTAAATAAAATGTGGGATACTGTGGCATAGCCATTTAAGGTGTTGGCATTAGGGGAAGCTGAGTAAAGAGTGCATTGGAGGGGGTTGTGGCTCAGTGGTAGAGTGGTAGAGTGCTCACCTAGCATGCATGAGGCACTGGGTTCAATCCTCAGCACCACATAAAAATAAAATAAAGATATTGTATCCACCTAAAACTAAAAAAATAATAATGAAAAAAAAAGAGTGCATGGGAACTCTATACTATGAAACTGGTCTATAGATCTAAAAATTATTTCAAAACTAAAAACTTTTGAGCAGGGTGTGGTGACACATGTCTGTATTCCCAGCAACTTGGAGGCTGAGGCAACTTAAAGAGGTCAAGGTCAGCCTCAGCAACTTAGCAAGACCCTGTCTCAAAAGAAAAAAAAGAGCTGGGGATGTGGCTCAGTTGTTAAGTGGCCCTAGTTCAATCCGTGGTACCAAAAAATAATTTTTTTTGAGAAAATATATATTGCTTACATGTATATTTAGAAACACTAGAAATATTCACAAGAAGCCAATCAGAGGAGGTAATCATAACAAGGAGAGAGTGAGAGTGGTATAGCTCAATGTTTATCATCACTTAATTTTTGAACCAGTAGAATATATATTATCTATTCAAAATTAAATTTTATGCTATAAAATAAAATAATGCCCTTTACCCATAACTGTCAAAAATATAAAACTGTTTTGTGATTTTTAGGAGAGTATCTGCTAAATAAGACTATTAAATCTTATCAATGAATTAAATATTTATTTCAAATTCCCTACCACATACCAGATTCAGTGAAACTTGACTGTAATATCACAAGATACACATCACTGTGCAAAGTTCACATTTAAACTGAATTTAGATAGCCTGTAGCAAGAGGAAAAAAAATAAAGAAGTAAGTTTGAAACAAAAAAAGGATGCTCTGATATTAAAAACAAGATCCAATTCCTTGGACAGGACTGGTTTTTTGACCAAAACAGAGGTGTGTTAGATTCTAGGATTTGACTTTATTTCTTCTAAGACATAACATTCCTGTCACATAAGTCAATGTCCTAGGCCAAATATAAACTGTTCATGATACTCTGGAGAGTAACAAGACCTTAATTGTATATTGTACATGCCCTCAAACTGTTCCCTGATGATCCCAGAGTCTATGGCCTCTGTCTCCTCTTGACTGATGCTCCTTCTTCTAAGGTCTACTCTAATCCAATGACTTTCAAACAGGTTAGCATCCCTCAAAAGGATACTAGGGGTCAGGTAGGGGAGTAATGAAAGTATAAAAGGGAAGGCCAAATAGATAAATTTTGGGCTCATGACCTTCAGTTTATCCAGAGCAGATCTGCTTTTAAGTTATTTTATGGACTGCTTTGGTCGTTTTTCTTTCTTTTTTTGGGGGGGGGGCAGGGGATGGGGGTACTGAGATTGAACCCAGAGGTTTTTTACCATTGATCCATATCCTCAACACTTTTATTTTTTATTCTGAAACAAGGTCTCACTAAGTTGCTTTTGGGCCTCACTAAATTGCTGAGTCTGACCTTGAACTTAYGATCTTCCTGTCTCAGCTTATCAAATCTCTGGGATTACAGGTGTGGACCACTGCACCCGGCTTATATACTGGTATTTTGCATAAACTTTTGTTTGGTGGGGAGGAAGTTCTAGTGCTACAAAACCAAATTGAAACCACTTACCTAAACTAAACGTAAACTACTATATCTGAACTAACAAACCAGAAACATACTAGACAAAGATTAAGCAAAAATCTAATCCGAGAATTCAGGTTCTCTCTGGAAGTAATACAAAATTAAGAGGGCTACTTGAGAAACTTCAGAAACAGACTATTATGCTAAGCCTTACCTGACCCCAAACACTTAAGCTAAATCAGATATACTCCAACTCCAGGGGTAAAGAAGCTAAATGTTGCTTATCATGAACTTAAGTACACTGGATTTTTTTCTGTACAGTAAACACAATATTAAACATAATGTTTCCAAAATTAATACAAGTCTCTACCATACCTTTCGATCATCAGGTACCAGGTCCTGAAGCACCTTCCTCTTAGGCCACTCCTTGGCCAGTTCAGCAGAGGCCAGCTCCTGCAAGTGGTATACAGCTATCTTGGCAGAACGCCTCTGAACTCGCCCCCCACTTTTTGGCTCCAGGCTCATATCTTTTAAGCACTCTGGCTGTCCCGACTCTGGAAAGAAGGAAATCTGCAAGAATGAGACACACAAAACATAGGCCAGCAATTAAAAGTTGTCCATTCTGCTCTAAGTAGCAAAAGAGCTATTTACTAACTTTACCACTAACATTGAGCCCACCAGATTAGAGCATATTTTACCGGTAAAAAAGTTTCTTATCAGGATAAAATAAATCTATTCTGTTGTATTAAGTAAAAGTGGTCAAAAATCAAGACACATTCTTATACAAAGAAATAAACTTCAACCCATACCTCACACTATATACAAAAATTAGCTCAAAACAACCACAGTTCTAAGTGTAAAATATTAAGTTATAAAAATTCTAGAAGAAACTGTGGGAAAAAATTTTTGTGATTATAAAGTGTCAATTTGGCTAGGCTAATGTCATAAATCAATCAAACTAATCTAGGTGATGATAAGAGGAAATTCTATTTAAATGTGATTCAAGTCCATAATCAGTTGACTTTAAGTAGGAGAGATGCAGCAGAAGAGGCAGGGGACCCAGGCATAGTGGTGCATGACTGTAATCCCAATGGCTTGGGAGGCTGAGGTAGGAGGATTGTAAGTTCAAAGCTAGACTCAGCAACTTAGCGAGACCCTGTCTCTAAACAAAATATAAAAAAAGGGCTGACAATGTGACTCAGTGGTTAAGCGCCCCGGGGTTCAAGGTCCACTGCCAAAAATAATAATAATAATTAAAGAACTAATGTAAAACATTTGTGTTGTGGAAGCCGTTAAGTTTGTGGTGAATTACAGCAACACCAGAAAATTACAAATAAGAAAAAGAAAAGATTTTCTACATAAACAAATACAAAACCCACAAAAACAAAAAAAGTATGAATTGAACTTTATTGAAATGTAAAATTCTGTTATTTGAAAAACCTGTAAAATATGATATATCTGATGGGACTTGAATTCAGAATATATGAATAACTAAATATACTTACAACTTAATAAAACAATTTAAAAATCCCCCAAAATCTGCCCAAAAAATGATCAAAGGGTTTGAACAGACACTTCACTAAACACAAACTACCTCCAAGTACTGTGGCACATGCATACAATCCCAGTAACTTCGGAAGGCTGAGGCAGGAGGATTCCAAGTTTGAGGCCAGCCTTGACAACTAGTGAGATCCTTTCTCAAAATGAAAAATAAAGGGCTACTGGGAGTCATGGTATATTTCTGTAATCCCATGGCTCAAAAGGCTACGGCAGGAGGATCACAAGTTTCAGGCTAGGCTCAGCAATTTAGCAAGGCCCTAAGCAAATTAGTTTGACCTTGTTTCAAAATAAAAAATATTTTTATATTTTTTTATACTGGTTTAATGCCCAGTACCAAAAAACTACACTGGACGTGTAGTTCAGTGGTGGTTACATGAATACAGGTGCCAAAATGTACATTTTTTAAATGTACATTTAAAAAGGCAAATATTGGGCTGGGGATACAACTCAACTGGTAGAGTGCTTGTCTCCTATGCACAAGGCCCTGGGTTCAATCCCCAGCATCACCAAAAAAAAAAAAAAAGGGCAAATATTCCATATGTAAATTATATCTTAATAAATTTGACTCTCAAAAACACACAACAGGGAAGCTTGGAAATGTAATTAAGGGAAAAAAGTCAACACATATTTACACAAAACAAAAATTAGAATAGAGACAAGCTGGACAGAGTCCAAAAAAATCCAATTAAAGGGGAATGCTTTTAGTTTAAAAGATGCAACAATAAAGTTGGATGTGGTGGTACATCCCTGTAATTTCACCTACTTGGGAGACAGAAGGATTATAAGTTCCAGGCCAGCTTCCACAACTTAATGAGACCCTATCTCAAAATAAATAAATAAATAAAAAGGGCAGGAGACTACAGGTCAATAGAAAAAGCCCCCTGGATTCAATTTCCAGTACCAAGGAAAAATAAAAAACATTCACTTCTTCCTTAAATATACTTTAGTTTTTTTGGTTTGTTTTGTTTTCTGTGGTACCAGGGTAGAATTCAGGGCCTTGTACATGGTAGGCTAGTACTCTACCACTGAGCAACATCACCAGCTCTGGACTATACTTTGAATTTTCATTTCCCTAACCTAATAATGTTCCAAAGTCAGAAATAAGAATGAGAAAAAGAATTAGAAAGAGAAAACAAAAGCATTCAAAGATTAAAAGTTGACACAAAAGGACAAACTAAGATATACAGAAAGAGGTAGAGGTACACACCACCAACTACAACCCCAAAAAAGGGTCTAGAGAGGAGTCAATACTCACAGGCCCATGCTCTGACCTCAGGTGATATGCAAGTCCAGCCTTCGATCTATATGGTTTTCCACAGTGGTGACACTTCAGAGTCATCTTCTCCAGCTCTGCAGCCCCTTTGCCACATTTTCTAACATGGTATAGATATCCCATAATGCTGGTGAAGGTACTGGAGCAACTCTAAACACAGGAAACAGACCCACATTAGAATCTAAAATCTTGGGGTTTTTTGGTACCAGGGATTGAACCCAAGGGTGCTTAACTACTGAGTCACGTCCCCAGATCTTTATATTTTTTAATTTTGAGACACAGTCTTACTAAGTTGCTTAGGACCTTGCTAAGTTGCTGAGGTTGGCTTTGAACTTGTGATCCTCCTGCCTCGGCCTACCAAGACACTGGGATTACAGGCATGTGCCATGCCGTCCCACCCAGCTAGAATCTTAATCTTTTGACATGATCCCTAAATTTATAAAAAGCTATAACATTCACCACCAGAAAATACAAAAAAACACTGTGATGTTATAAGACTTTCTCCAACATTTCCCTTGGTACAATCCTTCCTTTTCCCTGGATGTCCTATCTGTGAGCCATGATATTCAATCAGTTTATTTAGTGTTGTAATTTGGGTGTGCCCCCAAAAGCTCATGTGTGAAACATTGCAAGAAGGTTTAGAGGAGAAACGATTAGATTATAAGAGCCTTAACCCAACCAGTGAATTCCCTGATGGAATTAACCGAGTGGAAACTGAAGGCAGATAGGGTATGCCTGGAGGAGAAGAGTCACTGGGGATATGCACTTGGGGTATACCTTTGTATCTGGCAAGTGGAGCCTCCCTGTGCTTCCTGATCATCATGTGAGCTACCTTCCTTCACCACACTCACCATGTCTTAATTGAGCCCCAAGAAATGGACTGAGACCTCTGAAATGGTGAGCCCCAAATAAACTTTTCTTCCTCTAAAATTGTTCTTGTCAGGTCTTTTAGTCACAGCAGTAAAAAGCTGACTAATACAGTTGGCATTTGCTGAATTATAACCAGGCACCTACTTTGTATCATAGTTTCCTGCTTGGTCTATGATCCAACCCCACCCCAATATCAAACAGCCAGCAACATTAAAGTTGTTCATCACAGTGAGGTTACTTGGATCCTCTTCATCACACCAAAAAAAAAAAAAAAAGTTGGTAAAGAAATCCCTCTAAACAAAGAGGAGGGGACTTTGGGGGATGAGAAAGAAAATAAAGAACTATAAATGAATTAAAGAGACCTAGAGAAGCAGGGGCCATCATATGCTGTAAGAACTAGGAAGTCCATAAAGGAAAAGAAGGAGAAATAGAGAACAACAAAAGAAAGACAATGACCTGGGACTCCAGGGAGGAGTTGCTGTCCTTGAGCTCTTACCTCACGCATGCACCTGAGCTTTCCCAGTCTCTTTAGGACTGTTCGAAGCCGTTCCCTCTCACTTGGTTCATCTATTTCATCTCCAGCCTTCAAAATGGGCTAGAAATCAAGAGAAGCAAATAAGTAGATGATTCATGGAAATGCCAGACAGTAAAAGAAACACAGAAAATGAAGAACTGGATTAGCAGCTAAGCTAATATTTTGGTTTTATCCAATTTCTAGCTTTCTCCATCTTCTAGACGGACAAAGGAAGTAAAGAGAATATAAATAAGAGTCTGAGCCTCTTCCTCCCAGGATATGAGCCTTTGGGGATAACCTACCCACACAAGTATCTACGGTCTACCTCCATGGTTTCATTGTGCATAAATCTTGAATAGAGTCTTCTTACACACTTATGAGGTCCCAGAACCTCAATCATCTGCACTGAGATATGAACACTCACCTAATAAAAGATATCCACACACCACATGAGCTCACAGAGAAGACACTCTTACCAAACTATTATGATTCGCCATGACATGATACTTCATCCCTGCCAGTGAACGAAGTTGTTTCCCACAATGATGGCAAGTAAACATTTCCTAAAAGAAAAACATAGTACTCAGTACTCCACTGTTCAACAGAGAAACAGAATACCACAAATTGCTATGCAGTGGGCTAAACACTTAGCATGCATTAATTACTTCTTTCTTATCCACATATGGAATACCCACAGTAGTTATTTTTTCTCCATTCTACAAAAGAGGAAACTAAAGTCCACATATAAAAAGCTAAATGCCACAACTAACACATAGCTAAGTGAGGATTCAAACCCAAGTCTGTCAAGTGAAAAGTCTACATTCTCTCTGCCACACAATGCTTCCCCCTAACCTGCTGTATTCAGCATATTATACACAGTACCAGGTCTAAATTTTGGGTAAAAAGTCCTAACCATTATGAAATGCCATAAGATATCTAACCTGTTTGCAGTTTTCCATGTGTTTCTTTAAACCTTCTATGGTCTTCCTCCCAACTGCCTGGCAGGTAGGACAGGAAACACTGCCTTTATCCACGATTTCTAAGTACCATTGTTCTTCCAAACTGCCTACAAAGGAGAGAAAAATGACACTTTGTGATCTGCGGTATTCTCAAGAAACAAAAATCATAATTTCACAATTTAGGAAAAGTGTCATAAAATGGTTTTTCCCCTTCCTGGCTATTCTATACAGATTCTTCCTGTATATAACTTCTAAAAGTTATCTTTTTCCAAAACACTTAACAAATGCCTCCTTAAGAAATGCTCGAGGGCTGGGGATGTAGCTCAAGTGGTAGCGCGCTCGCCTGGCATGCGTGCGGCCCGGGTTCGATCTTCAGCACCACATACCAACAAAGATGTTGTGTTTAGCCGAGAACTAAAAAATAAATATTAAAAATTCTCTCTCTCTCTCTCTCTCGCTCTCTCTCCTCTCTCACTCTCTCTTTAAAAAAAGAAAAAAAAAAGAAATGCTCGAGTACATCACTCCTCATGGACAACAAAAATAAACCAGAGTTTATACTACATCCCGCAAACCTTCCAAAAGAAAGCATACCTGCTGCATAAACTGGTGGTTCCTTCCGAATACGACGAGCCTGGGATTTGGGATTAGGCTGAGTTTTAGGCCGTTGCTTCCTCCCTGACACAAGATGGAGACATGGAGTTCAACATGTTACCTTTACTAACCCCTCCCTAACACCAAAATCTCTTCCCTCCCCTTCACCTGGTCACAAAACCCCACTCATTCAACTGCCTGCCTCCTTTAAGTCACAAAAGTTAGGATGAAGCTACTCCCACCCCCAAATTCAAAGGGTTCTAAAGACAATAAAGGCCCAAACCAAAGGCCCAAACCTCTCTCTTTTTGTTTTAGTTGTTGATGGACCTTTATTTTATTTACTTATTTATAATATGGTTTTGAGAATCAAACCAGTGCCTCACACATACTAGGCAAGCACTCTATTCACTGAGCCACAACCCCAGCCCCCAAAGTCTCATTCTCTTTTATCCTCGAAGAATAAAGCCTAGTGACCCAAGGAAAAAGTAGCAAAATGAACTCCTTACCATAAAGCTTATGCTTTTTCTGAGGAAATTCACCATAATCTTCATCTTCTTCCTGCTTGGGTTTCCTTTTTCCTTTTGCTGATACTCCACCTGACCCTGAAATATCACACAAAAACAAAACGCCAACTCAGTACAGTTTGTAAATGAACTTCTGGGTCTGTCTTCAAGACATCATTCACAAGACTATGAAAGAGAAAGATCACTAGTGAATGCAGGCCTCAAAGAAGTGTTGTGGTATTTTTAGGAAAACTGGTGTAATTTCTAATTAACTGACTGACCCTCCACTCTGGAATCATCAATTCTTCCCTAAGAGTAAAAAAAGTCTTCAGGAAATATTTTATTTCTTGATTTGAGGCTATCACTGAAGTAGAAGAACTGTTCAAGATAGAGAGCTACCAGTCACTTGTGACTGTGACTCTCTAGAATATACTCCATGACTCTTTATCCAGCCCTTATATCCGCAAAAAAAGAGCAAACCAGAACACAGGAAAGAAGTTCAAATCCCATATAGAAGAAGGCTGATTTGAAGTTTAAACTAGAAGAGTAGAGTCAGCAGTATTTTACTCTATTAGACAATTCATGAAGCTAACAGTACGAAATAGCCTACCATGTTAAAATCTTTTAATCACTAATGAGGTTAAACGTCTGTGGCATTTAATACTTTAAAAATCACTTATAGGGCAGGGGTTGTGGCTCAGTGGTAGAGCGCTTGCCTGGCATGTGAGAGGCACTGGGTTCAATCCCCTGCACAACATAAAAATAAAGGTATTGTGCCTAACTACAACTAAAAAAAAAAAAAAAAAAAAAAAAAAGAATCACTTATAGCAACTATCTCAAAATATAACTTCAGAGCACACTGTCTTTGGAAACAGACATTAATTCTGATACCTTCAGTACGAGAAGTTCCAGCTGGTTTGATTCTCCTCATTTTCATCCAGTAGGTAGATTTTCGGAAGGATGCTGGAAAATCACTCACTGGTTCACATGAAGAGGCAGATGATGAGCCGCTTAAGGAATCATCGTGAGGGATAGTGTACTGGAAACTATTATCCTTTATGGAGCACTGGGTCCTGCTACTAACACGACACAAAAATCATGTACCAATGAGGGTCTGGAGTAAAACCCTTATTAATTATTTTATCATAGGAAGATAATCAAGTCGGCTACTTGTGCAAAAAACTAAGGCAGCTAATTTTATTTTATTAAGAAGGCTAATTTGGGGACTGGGGCTGTGATTCAGTGGTAGCGCACTTGCCTGGCATGTGTGAGGCACTGGGTTCGATTCTCGGCACTGCACATAGATGAATGAATAAAATAAAAGTCTATCAACAACTAAAAATATATATATACATATATAAAAAGAAGGCTAATTTTTAAAAAAATTATAAATTGTAATCTAAAAATTACATTTATCAGTCTAACACAACATATATAATTATTATTATACTTCATTATAATCAGAAAGAGTAAGCAGTCCATTTTGCAATAGAAGGAAGAAATTCTTTCCTGGATTTATCTAAGAAAAATAAATTTTAAGCAATGTAATTGGGTATTCTGTGACTCTCAGATCCCCTAGATCAGTAACTAGATATGTCCAAGTTTCCCTCTCTCTCTGCTAGAGGGACAGTAACTAAAGGATATCTCTGAGAATAGAAAGGGAAAAAACCAGTCTATAGACACTAATCTGATCCATCTTCCTTCTTGCTCAGTCTCCTCTATAAACCATAATGAGAGCTGCCTTGTCTTAACTTGGCAATACAATGCTTAGTTTCTACAGCTGAAGATAAAATGCTATCTTGCCTAAGTTACACTGTTTAGAGACTCCTGATAAAAAGCTAGATCTAGATTCCTAAATCTAAGACTAGTGAGTATATCAATTAAAAAACATTACTGAGGGGCTGGGGCTGTAGCTCAGTGGTAGAACACTTGCCTAGCATATTTGAGGCACTGGGTCCAATTATCAGCACCACAAATAAATTAATTAATAAATAAAATAAAGGTTCATCAAAAATTTTAAAAATATTTCTAAAAAATTAATAAGCAGGGCATGGTGGCACATGCCTGTAATTCCAGTGACAAGAGGCTGAGGCAGGAGGATTGCAAATTTAAGGCCAGCCTCAGCAATTTAGTGAGATCCATAGCAACTTAGACTCTCTCAAAATAATAAATTAAGAAAAAAAGGACTAAGGAGTAGCTCAGTGGTAAAGCACCCCTGGGTTAAATCCCCAATCTTGGGGAGGAGAAAAAAAATCACACATATCTTACATTTGTAAGAGTAGAGAATGAAAGTTAATTATCCCAGGTGACCTTCCTTAGGAAAATACATAAAATGTGATAGATACCAATTATGAAATACTATGTAGTTGTCAGACACAATAAGCCAATTCTACACACAGAATTTAACTAAAAGGCATTCTCTGATGAATGAAAAAAGAAATAGAAAGAATCTATTACAATGTCATCTCAGTAAATTAAAAATAAATACATATATAAAGCAGCTCTTCCAGTTTTAAAAGGATTCATAAATATTTAAGGACAAACATGACACTTATTTACATGGTTTCCTTTGGGAGGAAGGGGATGGAAATCAGCATAAACATAAAAGAAGATGGCTTCAGTATCCTATGAGTAGGGAAGAACAATTTTCAGTTCTCTGCACGAGGTCCCGTATTACAAATTCAATAGAGTGGTCTTGGTTCTGGTATGGTAGCATAAGCTCACTTCAGCCCATCCTTCCTGCTGATTACAATGATAAACTTTGGGTTCTGATATTAAACAAAAGCAGTGGATTATGCAGGGGAGTAAAAACTGAGAGATGTTACCTATATGGAATGAGTTTCCCAGTTGTTTCATGACTCTGCAACAATGCTGGGCCTATGTGCAGAGCAGTATGGGCAGCTTAAATTCCAACAGAAACCCCAACTTTCTGGTTACATAATCAGGAAAAGGAGTCCCTGTTGGCAAGAGTATGGAAAATTCTGGAGAGAAGAAAGGCACAGAAGGCGATTCCATAATTTTGCATTTGAAGCCATACAAATCACAGCCTAACCTTAGCAAGATATGTGAGAGGCATATTAAAATCAGTCTAGTAAAGACTGAAAACTGAAATAAAATTTGAACTAAGTGACCCAAAACAATGCAGCAAAAGCCTAGAGAACTGACAATCTGAGACACCTGAAGAAATCTCAAACTAACTCTTGGGCTATTGTGAATGAGATGAGCCCCCATTTACATCATAGCAAAAATGTAAAGAACAAAACTTGAGATTTTTAACTGTTGCTCTCAGAAGGTAAGGCAGAACTTAGGGCTTGAACCTAAACAGGCTGCCTGCTAAAAGAAAAACAGCAAAATTCGTACAGAAGATTACAATAGGATCCAAACTTTATATAAATAATATTCACAATGTTAAAGATAAGTTTCAAAATCATGCAACACAAAAAACCAGAAAAATGTAATTCTCAAAGGAATAGATCATCAACAGATACCAGAACTGTCAAATACTTTCAAGCTGCTATTAAAATTGCTTATAAAGGAAAACACACATGAAATGAAAGACAAGGCAGGAATTATCAACAAACAGAAAGCATAAAAAAGAATCAAATGAGATTTCAGAACTGAAAAATGCAATATCTGAAATAAAAACTCACTGCATGGGTTCAGTAGCAGAATGAAGATGACTGAGGAAAGAGTCTGTGAACTTGAAGACAGAGCAATAGAAATGATCCAATCTGAAGAACAAAGAGAAAAAGGAAATTGAAAAAAAAAAAAAACAAAAACAGTTCACAGACTCAACAACCTGTGGATCAATCTCCAAGTTCTAACTTAAGTGTAGCTGTGGTTCAAGGAGAAGAGATACCATCTCTTCTCCTTGGAGAAAGAAAAATAATTTGGAAAAACTAATGATAAAAAACCTCCCACATTTAATGAAAGACATAAATTTAAAAGATTCGAGGAGCTCAACAAACACTAAGTAGAATAACTCAAAGAAAACACGCACAGACACATCTTAATCAAACAAAATTACTTAAAAGCAAAGATTGAAAATAAATCTAGAGAACAGCTTCAGAAAAGCAACATCTTACATTACAGGGACCAGAGATTCACACCATCATGGATTTCTCAACAGAAATCAAGGAGGCCAGAAGACAATGCAACAATATCTGTAAGATCCCAGGGGGTGGAGGGAGGGAAGGGAAAGGAGAGGTAAAGGAGACTGAATTAGAACAAGAGATATTCCATGCTTTTATAATTATGTCAAAATGGATTCTATTGCAATGTATAACTAAAAAGAATCAGTATAAATAAACAGATAAATAAATCTGTAAGATCCTGAGAGAAAAGATTTGTCAACTCAGAATTCTACATTCAGTGAAAATACACTTAAGAATATTTTGGGGGTGGGGGGGCAGCGTCGGGGTTGTGGCTCAGTGGAGTGCTTGCCTAGCACGTGTGAGGCCCTGGGTTTGATCCTCAGCACCACACAAAAGAATATTCTAACAAATAAAATGAAGTTATCTAAAAAAATACAAATAAAAATATATATATATATATATATTATATATATATTTCTTCGAATAAATAAAAACTAAGAGATTTAAGAAATGCTAAAGCTGAAGAAATTCCAGCTGATGAAAAATGATACCAGAGAGAAACTTGGATTTTCAAGAATGAAGCAACAGAAATGGTAAACACTGGGTAAGTATTTTTAAAATTTTAAAGCAAAATTTTAACATTATCTTGTAGAGTTTTTCAATATATGTTATGAAGGTACAATACATAAAACAACTATACTATAATGGGAGGTGGGCAAAAGATTAAAAGAATCTATATGGCTGTAAGGTTTCTACAATTTTTTTTTTTTAGAGAATTTTAATATTTATTTTTTTTTTTTAGTTTTCGGTGGACACAACATCTTTCTTTGTATGTGGTGCTGAGGATCGAACCTGGGCGGCACGCAAGGCAGGCGAGTGCGCTACCGTTTGAGCCACATCCTCAGCCCAGGTTTCTACAATTAAGCAAAGTGTTAGATATTAAATCTAAATAGACTGTTAAAGGATAAACATGAATATTATAAATCCTAAAGGATCCACTTAAAAAAATACAAAGAGACATAGACAAAAACCCAGTTATGGTAAATACATTTAAATGGGACACTAAGCACTCAAATACTCTGAAAGAACAACAAAGGGAAAAAAGTAAGAAAGAGAACAAATAATATATGGACAGACCTAAATCCAAATATACCGATATTAATTTAAATGCTTATGGTCTAAACATTCCAGGTAAAAATCAGAGATTAAAATAATCAATAAAAAGGCAGACTCTACTAATATATTTGCTTACAAGAAGCACACTTTAAATACAGACATAGACAGATTGAAAGTAAATGAATTAAAAAACCTATCCCAGATAATCAGCAAACATAAGAAAGTTGGAGTAGCTATTTTAATTTCATATAAAACAGACTTCAAGACAGACAGGATTACCAGAGACAGACACTTCATGACAAAAATGTCAAATTATCAGGAAGACATAATTACCTGTTGTATGTGCCTAATAATAGGGCCTCGAAGTACTCGAATCAAAAACTGACAGAATTAAAGGGGAAAATAGACATTCCACAATTTTAGGAAATTTTAATCTCTCCTCTCAGCAACTGGTAGAATTCTGACAAAAATTCAGCGAACACATAAATGAACTAAACTACATTAGTAGCCACCTTGTTTGAGTTACTAACATTCATAGAATGCTACACCCAACATACAGGATATGCATTCTTTTCAAGTGAATGCATTGTGCATTCACACCAAGAAAGATTACAGACTGGGCCATAAACTTTAAACTTTTACTAAAGGAATGAAAATAACATTGCATTCTTTGACCACATCAAAATGAAATCAGAAACCAATAATAGTAAACTACTGAAAAAAAAAAAGAAAAATACTTAAAAAATAAAACTATGTAGAAATTAAATAATCTGCTCCTAAATAATTTAGAGGTCAAAAATTAAATTGCAAGAGAAATGTGAAAATATTTGGAGAAACAAGAAAAATTTATACACATGTGCGGCTGAGCCAGGCACAGTGGCGCATGCCCATGCCTATAATCCCAGCAGCTCAGGAGGCTGAGGCAGGAGGATTCAAAGCCAGCCTCAGCAATTCAGCAAGGTACTAAGCAACTCAATAAGAGCCTGTCCACTAAATAAAATATAAAAAAGGGCTGGGGAGGGCTGGGGCTCAGTGGCAGAGCGCTTGCATTACACATGTGAGGCACTGAGTTTGATCCTCAGCACCACAAAAAAATAAAGATATTGTGTCCATCTATAATTTTAAAAAAATTTTTTAAAAAGGGGGAGGCAGCTGGGGAGCTGGGGTGGCTCAGTGGTAAAGTGCCCCTGGGTTCAAACCCTGGTACAAAAAAAAGTGTGGCTGAAACTAAAGTACTTAGAAGGAAACTTAAGTTTTGATTGCATGTATCAGAAAGACTAAAAATTAATAACTAAAGTTTTAACTTTACGATAACTTAAGAAGAGCAAAGTAATACAAAGAAGAAAAAATGAAAAATCGATGGACTAGACAATGGAAACTGACAATAGGGAAAATCTGGTTCTTTGAAATGATCATAAAATTGAGAATCCTATAGCTAGACTGATCAAATTTTTAAAAAAGATACCATAAGTAATATCAGAAATTGAAGAGGTTATTATCACATATCATATGAACATTAAAGTACTGAGAATAATTCGAATAACTCTTTGCCAATAAATTAAACTGACATTAAAAAAAAAGAACAAACTGGAAATCTGAATAGCCCTACAGCTATTAAACTGAAATTGTCAAATTCTCCCAAAAAAAACCTCAAGGATCAGATTATTTCATGTTGAAACACACTGTAATAAGGTTACAAAAAGGAAAAAAAATCAAAAGGAAAAAAGTAAAACTGTCCACACTTTCAGGTTATGTGACTGTTTACAAAGAAAGATACTAGGAATCTGCAAATAATTACTAGAACTAATAAAGGGATTTAGCAGGGCTGGGGATATAGCTCAGCTGGTAGAGTGCTTGCCTCATATGCACAGGGCCCTTGGTTCAATACCCAGCACCACAAAAAAAAGGGGGGGGGGAATTTAGCAAGTGGCAAGATACAAAGCTAGATACAATAGTCAATTATTAAGTGGGGCACAGTGGCTCAGGCCTGTAATCCCAGCAACTCAGGAGGCTGAGGTAGGAGGATCACAAATGCAAAGTCAGCCTCAGCAACTAGGCAAGACCCTCAACAACCAAAAGGGCTGGGGATATAGCTTCGTGGTAAAGTGCTCCTGGGTTCAATACCCAGTAACAAAGGGGGAGAAAAGGAAAGGGAAAAAAAGTCAATTATTATATATTAGCAACCAGCAACTAGAAAGTGACGTAAAAATGATATCATTTACGATAACATAAAATACTAACAAATCTAACAAAAGACATCCAAAGGCTTTTACTATGAAAACTACAACACATTGCTAAGAGTGTTAAGAAAACCTAAATGAATGGCAAAGTACCTCATGCTCATAAATAAGAAAAATGTTAAAATGGCATTTTCCTCAAATGAATCTATAGATCCAATATAATACCAATCAATACTCAACATGTTTCTTTTTATAGATACTGGCAACTTAATTCTAGAATTTATATAAAAATGTAAAAAACCTAGAATAACTAAAATTATTTTTTTTAAATGCCTTATCTAATTTCAAGACTTTAACTCTAAACATTAACAGAACAGAATAAGAACTATCCAGAAACAGACCTATACAGATACATGTTCAACTGATTTTTTTTTTTTCTTTTAGGTTCTGGAGACTGATCCCAGGGCCTCTCAAATGCCAGGCAAGCACTCTACCAATGCACTATAATCTCCAACTCTATGCAACTGAATTTTTATATATGTGTGTGGTGTAGCTAGACCTTTTTAAAAAAAAAWTTTTGAAAGAGGTTCTTGATAAGTTGCCCAGGCTGGACTCAAACTTGTGATCCTACTGCCTCAGTCTCCCAAGAAGCTGGAATTACAGGTGTGCACCATCATGCCCAGCTTCAAGTGATTTTTGATAAAGGTATCAAAGCAATTCAATAAGAAAAGCCTTTTCAACAGTTGTTAAATATACTAATGTAAAAATATTGACATTGACCCTCACCACACACCACACACAAAAATTAACTCTAGATGGGTCAAAGACCAATGTATAAAAACCTATAAAACTTCTAGAAGATAGGAGAAAATCTTTGCAATTAGGGGAAGCAAGGTTTCTTAAAGAGAATAAAAAAGCAAGAAACATAAATGAACAATTTTTTTTTTTTTTTGTACTGGGACTTGAACTCAGGGGCATTTAACCACTGAGACACATCCCCAACCCTTTCTACTTATTATTTTGAGATAAGGTCTCACTAAGTTGCTTAGGGCCTCACTAAGTTGCTGAGGCTAGCCTAGAACTTGCAATCCTCCTGCCTCAGCCTCCTGAGTGGCTGGGATTACAGGCGAATACTACCATGCCTGGCAAATGAAACAATTTTTTAATGATACTTTAAAACTTTTGTCCTTCAAATGACATCACTCAGAGAATGAAAAACAAACCAGATTTTGTTTGTCAAGACATATTTATTAGACAAAGAAATTATATTCAGTATAGATTTTTTTAAATATTAAAACAAAGACAACCCCATTTTTTAAAAAATGGGTAAAAGATGTAAATACTTTACAAAAGAAGATAAACAAATGACCAACAAGAACATGAGAAGATGCTCAACATCATTTAAAATGAATAAAAAACAAAAATTAAAGTCACATCACTATACAACTATTAAATTAGCTAATATTAAAAGGATCAACTCTTATGTTACTGGTGTGAATGTAAATGATACTATTTTGCATAGGCAGTTTCATAAAAAGATAAACATACTCTGCCACATAATCCAGTCAACCTAGGATGGGAGATACTATTTTATGTACTAATCAAGTAAAATGGAAATATTTGTCCATATAAGACTCCTATGAGATGGGCACGACAATGCAAGCCTATAATCCCAGTGATTTGAGAGGCTGAGGCAGGAGGATCTCAAGTTCAGACAGCCTCGGCAACTTAGCAAGACCCCCAGCAATTTAGTGAGACCCTGTCTCAAATTAAGAAGTAAAAACAGGCTGGGGATGTGGCTCAGTGGTTAAGCAACCCTGGGTTCAATTCCTGGCACAAGAAAGAGACAGAGAGAGAGAGAGAGAGAGAGAGAGAGAGAGAGAAAGAATCACTATGTGATTTCATTTTATAAAATTCTAGAATATGTAAACCACTGTACATAAACAGAAAATAGGACTGTAATGCCTAAGGATGGGAGAGGAGAAAGAAATGGACTGCAAAGGGAAACAAACAAACAAAAAAAAAAACTTTGGGGTTAGATAGAAAGGTTTGCTATCTTGATTATAATGATGGTTTCAGAGATGCATTTTATAAACAAACTGATTGTAAGGTAGTATTTATTTATTTGTAAGGATTAGACCTAAAGTCTGCCACACACTAGGTAAATGTTCTACCACCAAGACATTCCCCCAGCTCACAGTGTACACTTTGAATAAGTACAGTCTATTTTATATCAATTATACTTCAAATGGAAATTGGCAGTCCTTTAGGGCTGAAACCCACCATCCTAAACAATGGGATCAATCATTTCTCAATAAAGTCTTTGATTGTACCAACCAGGCAGTAACAGCCAAGTCCCATGTGACTACTCTCAGGAAACTCTATACAAGTTTCTTTTCTTTTTCTTTTCTTTTTTTTTTTTTTTTTAAGAGACAGAGAGAGAGAGAGTTTTAACATTCATTTTTTAGTTTTCGGTGGACACAACATCTTTGTTTTTATGTAGTGCTGAGGATCGAACCCGGCCGCACACATGCCAGGTGAGCGCGATACCACTTGAGCCACATCCCCAGCCCCATCTATACAAGTTTCTTAGTGTAAGACACAGAAATACATATATCTCTTCTCATGAATAAGCATGAACACAGTAAAAGATCCAGAGTTGATCATATGATCAACTTGATTAATATACTGGAGATTAAGTCATGATGGCTAGGGAATCCCTGTCTCTAAGTCTGTCTTTTGTTTGTAAAGGACTCAACAAAAACCATTAAATATTTTATACTATCAATTCAGAACATTTGACCATTTGTTGAAACCAGATTAATCTCAAACTTCCCTTTCCATAAACATAACAAGAAAAAGCTTTGTTATGATATAATGGCTATCATAATTATGGTGATTTTATAATTTATCACCAATGTGGCAAGTCTCTGCTTCTGATTACAAAGATGAAAAGTTAAGCCAATTTTCAACCCTTTTCTGACCTTCTAGGTCTTTTTAAGACCTTCTAGTTCATTCTTCTACATGTAAATATTTAGATTTCACTTAAAAAAAAAAAAAGTATTTTAGTTCATCCCAGTACTCTTTGTAGACTATTTATTTATTTATTTATTTATTTATTTATTTATGGTACAGGGGGATTGAACCCAGGGGCACTTAACCACTGAGCCACATCCCCGGCCCTATTTTATCTAAAGTCAGGGTCTCACTGAGTTGCTTAGCACCTGGCTTCTTCTGGCTTTGAACTCATGATCCTCCTGCCTCAGCCTCCCGAGCCACTGAAATTACAGGCATGTGCCACTGCACCCAGTGTGCAGACTTCTTTAATTCTACAAAATCTTTATAAAGGCTGGTTTGCCAGGTGGTGCATGCCTGTATTCTCAGCAATTCTGTAATTCCAGCAATTTGGGAGGCTAAGGCAGAAGGATCACAAGTTCAAAGTCAGCCTCAGCAATTCAGTAAGGCCCTAAGCAACGTGGCAAGGCCCTGTCTCAAAATAAAAAATAAAAAGGGTTGGAGATGTGGCTCAGTGGTTAAGCACCCCTGGGTTCAATCCAAAAAAATTAAATTAAAATAAAGGCTAATATTCTCCATGGTTTCATCCTCTACTCTTTTTTAGTCTCTTCTCACCTTTGTTTCTTCAAATTTACAATTTCTAAAGAAGCTAGTTAAATAAAGATTCCCACACCCTAATCCCAATGATTTGGATTCTGATTAATGGATGGCAGCCCATCCATGTTTATACTTTTTAAGAATCATCCCTGGGTAAACCAAGGTACACATTGAGAAATATTGCTTTAAACACATTCCCTAGAAGATCTCATGAATACTCATTTTTTTTTTTATTTTTGAGAGGAGAGAAAGAGAGAGAGAGAGAGGAGAGAAAGAGAGAGAGAGAGAATTTTTAATATTTATTTTTTAGTTCTCGGCAGACACAACATCTTTGTTGGTATGTGGTGCTGAGGATCGAACCCGGGCCGCACGCATGCCAGGCGAGCGCGCTACCGCTTGAGCCACATCCCCAGCCCATGAATACTCATTTTGTAGAAAAAAATATGTTTTCAGTTAACTTTTATAGCGGATAATTCTCAATTTTTCATTTCAGACCAGCCCTTCACCTGAGGTCCAAATCCATTTATGTTTGTTCCAAATGTTGCTCCTCATTCAGAAATTCCCAGTTCAGTGAATTACTCCAACCTTCAGCTGTTTGCCAGTGCCAGAAACCCACAGACATCCTAACTTTCTTTTGCTTAGCTCTAGCCTATATCATCATGTATATTTCCTATGTATTGTTCCCCACATATTCTTCATTCCTCTTTTGTTCCTAAAATAGCCTCTGAACCAGTTTTCCAACATACTTCCTAATCCATCTTACATAAAGTTACCAGAGTGACCTTTCCCTTCCAGGATAAAAGTCCAACACCTGAGCATGCTGTTAAAAAAGGCTTGTTTTCAAGCTGGGCTTGGGAGGCTGAGGCAGGAGGATCTCGAGTTCAAAGCCAGCCTCAGCAAAAGCCTGCGCTAACACTCAGTAAGACCCTGTTTCTAAATAAAATACAAAATAGGACTGGGGATGTGGCTCAGTGGTCAAGCACCCCTGAGTTCAATCCCCGGTACCCTCCCCCCCCACCCCCACAAAAAAAAGACCTTTCATGATCTGGCTAACCTCTTTGAATGACCACTTTGCTAACCCCCATTCTCCATTCCAGTCATATAGAACACCTTGCTATCCCATTTACTTTTTTACCTATTCAAATGTTGTTCTCTCTTCTGAAAAATCCTTTCTCCTGGCTAACTGCATCTTTCCTCCACTTTCAAGCCTAGGCTTACAGATGATCTATTGTGGTTATTGCTCAGACTTTCACTCCCTTTCCCTAACAGCTATATTAAATTCTTACTTTAAAATATTTAGTTATTACACTGTATTTTGTTGATTTTTTGCAAATCCCCTCTTTGGATTTCTACTTTTGTTTTCCATTTCTGTATATCTAAATACACAGCTGGCAAAAAGCAGACATTTAGTCAATGTTATCTGAATGAATTAATCCATCTAATGAGTCTCAAATTTTTTTCTTTTAACTATGAAAAACTTAGCACATTCAGCATACAAAATAATAAGCCAGCCTTGCAGCCAAATAGTTTGAAAATACAAGAATTTCTCCCAGCCATATTTTCTCTTCCTTCCAAGATCAGCAATGTATTTATGAGCACGAATTTCATGTGGGGAGAAATGCTGGACTACCACTGAATCATATGTTCTATTTTTATTATAATTTGTTCTTTTGGTTTTTTGGTTTTTGTTTTTTTTTGCAAGCTGTTTTCCTCCACTACACTAGGTTTAGACCTGCACTGTGCAATTCAGTAGCCACTAGCTACAGGTGGCTATTTAAATTTGGTTAATTAAAATGTAATAAAAATTAAAATCCATTTGCTAGTTGCACTAGTTACACCTCAAGTGCTTAAGAGTCATACGTGGCTGGTGGCTACGATAATGGGCAGTGCGGACACGGGATATTTTCATCAATCCAATGGACAGCGCTGGCGACACAATTATAAAAAGACCTCAGAAAAACCTCACTTACTTCTTAGCTCCCACGATCCTGGTGCTCCTCTGCTGCTTAAAGGACGTGGGTCCCGGGGTCTAGCAAATCATAAGCACAGAGTGAGGGCTAGGGTCCTCTGGACCTTGACCACAAAGAGATGATTCCCCCCTTGTGCCCAGAAGAAATGAGGCTCTCCCGGGGCAACTACCTCAAACGGAAAAAGGCAGCACTTTTCAGGAAACGTATACGGTGCTCCCTTCCTACAACGCACAGGCGGGTGACAATACCTGCGCCTTCATCTTCCCCCATTCCCAAAGCTCTGTCCCAGGCAGAGGCTCTAAAAGGGAGGCGAAAAAAGACGACAACGACTATGGGCGGCATTGGGGGATGTAAAAGAAACAGAAACTAATGGCAATCTGGAGAGGAACTGAATCCAGGGAGGTGGGGAACAAGCAAAAAAAGTGGGGAAAAAAGAGGGGGGCAGGTGGATCTGATCTAAAAGGGTGGGGCCTACGATGGGGTCTGATAAAAACCAACTCTGAGCACGGGACAAAAGCGAGGGGCCGCGTGCTCCAGGCTCGACAGCGCTCCCTCTAAAGCATCATGGTCACCCCAAGGAACTCACAGCGGGGACTGCACCGAGTCTGGAAGACATCACTCCCTCTCCACGCCTAACAATTTCACCCAAGGGCTCCGGCCAGACCAACGCCACTTCCGCTCTCCTCGCCTCTCCCGGATGTGGCCTCGGCGCCGCCTAGCCCGGTTCTGAACGTCTACTTCCGCCTAGCAGCTTCCGAGGGGGCTGCGGCTGGAGAGTCACGTGACGTGCCCCCCTCGGTTCCGGAGACCCCACCCCCCACTGCGGCGCGGGGCCTGGGAGAACGCGAGCCCGGGGCTCCAGCGAGGGGGCGGGGTCTGGAGACCAGCCGGCCCGGGCCTCGCGCCCGGTGCTCTGTCCCTTTGTACGACAACACTTGTCCCAGCTTTCCGCACCCACCCGGGTCATGGTCCTGTAGATGCACATGGAGATCAATTATTGCCCCTTTATTGATCTTAGAGAAATTACAGACTCATTCTCTGTCCCCCTCCCCCAGGTAGAGAGATCAAGCAGCCCTTTCATTGCTGAGGGTGCAGGAATTGGAGGCAGTGGCTGAGCAGGAAAGAAGCCGGGAAAGGGTGAAAATTCAAGGAAGACGATTTATAGCAGGGGCAGAGCTCTCCTCATCTACTAGCTTCGGGCCTCCAAACTCGTCTTGCTTTTGAAGTTGTCGTTTGGGTCTGCGGGAGGCATGGCTGAGTAACTCTTGGAATCTTTAGACAAACTATGTCTGGGCCTCTCCTTAGGGGAGCTGTGCTTGAGCCTCTCTTTGGGGAGATTCTGATGGATTCCCTCCGTGTGGCTGCTGTGTCTCCTCTCAGAGTGGCTGCGGTGTCTCCTCCCAGAGTGACCGCGGTGTCTCCTCCCAGAGTGACCACGGTGTCTTCTCTGAGAATGACCGCGGTGTCTCCTCTTGGAATGACGACGTTGACTTCTCTCAGAGGGACGGTGACAGGTCCTGTCAGTGGCACTGTGGTCGCTTCTCTCAGGGTGGCGATGCTTGCTCCTCTCAGAGGGCCTGTGTTGCCTCAGCTCAAAGGGACTGTGATGGCTTCTCCCAGAAGGACTGTGTCCTCTTATCCCAGGGGGACTGCCAAAGGATAGCTTAGAGAAGTTACCACGGCTCCTCTCTGAGGGACTGCGACGGCGGCCCCTCTCTGAGGGACTTCTCCTCTCTGAGGGACTGCGACGTCTCCTCCCTGAGGGACTGCGACGGCTCCTCCCTGAGGGACTGCGACGTCTTCTCTCTGAGGGACTGCGAGGACTGCGACGTCTCCTGTCTGTGGCACTGCGAAGGCCCCTCTCTGAGGGACTGCGAGGGCTCCTTTCTGAGGTACTTCGACGGCTCCTCTCTGTGGGACTGCGACGGCTCCTCTCTGAGGGACTGCGAGGGCTCCTTTCTGAGGTACTTCGACGGCTCCTCTCTGTGGGACTGCGAAGTCTCCTCTCTGAGGGACTGCGACACCTCTTCTCTGAGGGACTGTGACGTTTTCTCTCTGAGGAACTGCGGTGGCTCCTGGGTGAGGTACTTTGGCGACTCCTCTCTGAGGTACTTCGACGGCTCCTCTCTGAGGTACTGGGATGGCTCCTCTCTGAAGTACTGCGACGGCTCCTCTCGGAGGGAGTGCGCTGAGTCCTCTCTGAGGTACTTCGACGTCTCTCTAAGGAACTGTGATGTTTTCTCCCTGAGGCTCTGCGAGGGCTCCTCTCTGAGGGTCTATGCTGCTTTCTCTCTGAAGGACTGCAAATGCTCCTCTCTGAGGGACTGGGACGGCTCCTCTCTGAGGGACTGGGACATACCACCTCTGAGGGACTGACATGGTTCTTCTCTGAGGGACTGTGAGGTGGCCTCTCTGAGGAGCTTTGCTGACTCCCGTCTAAGAGACTGTGGCGTCTCCTCTCTGGGGCATCGTGATGGCTCCTCTTCAAGGGACTGCGATGTGTCCCCTCTGAGAGTCCCTGATGGCTCCTCTCAGAGACACTGGAAAGGGTTCTGTGGGAAGGGCTGCGCTGGCTCTTGTCAGGGGCGTTCTGCGGGGTTCTGTCCCCCTGGTGGCAGCTGGCCTCCTTGTGAGGGCCTTTCCGGTTTCTCTTCACCTGAAGTCTGGTTTCGGATTTGAGCAAATTCTTGGGCTTCTGACTGGAAATTTCATCTTTATGGAGGGTTTTCTTGGCACTGCTGCTGCTGTCATTTTGAACTACACCCAAAGTCTGCCTGAAAGTAGCAGTTTGTAAAGTGACCTCTCTTTGGGACACTGTGGGCTTGGGCAGCTGGAGAGGTCTGGATGGGCAAGGGCTCTCTGTTTGTGACTGTGGGGCGGATTTGCTTTGGTTTGTGTCCTCCAACAATATGTCCTCCTTCTTAGTGCTTGGACTAGGTGGCCTTTGCTTGATAACTGGTGTCCCGTCTCCTTTTTTATCTTTTGGTAAACAGTAGTCTCTGGCTTTTTGTTTTGAATCATAGCTTTTGCTTGACCACAGATCATCTGGCCTGGTCCTGTCCTCAGGCTTCTGTCCAAAAGAAGCTATCATTCTGCATGCTGTTTGGAATGCCTGCTTGAGGCCCTGAAAGAGCAGTCGCAGGAACTTGGGCTGGGGGGATTTCTTAATTGGTCTTCTTAAGGAAGCAGAACTTGTATGAGCTACTACAGTCCTCTTTCTTTTTAAAGGGGCTGGGAATTCCTTAGAGGGACTCTGTATTGTGGCTCCAGTGTTTGTGTTTGGTGTTCCTTTGTTGATTCTCTTCACTGGAAATTTTGAATCCCAGGATTTTTGGGTTCTCACTCGAGCCCATGTTTCATCCTGATAGCAGCTTACAGAGTCACTCTCTGATAGGGAGTGCACATGAGACAATTCATACTGCCCAAACTCTCCAATTTCTGTCTTTCCTACTAGACCAGGGCTACCCCATTGCCTTTGTTTGCTATAGACTTGTACAGGAGCAGGGGACTGGAAAGCTCTAGACTGGAAATCTCTCGTGGGAGTAGGATTCTTAGAAACTGGAGTATAAATTTTAGCTTTCCTTTTTGATGGTGCTATAGGACTATTTGGTGTCATGGGTCTGCTTCTTCCATGATACTTTGAAACTTGGGATCTTTTTCCAGTCCGCAACCTAAAGCCAAGATGCAACCGAATCTCACCATGGCCTTCAGGAGTACTTACAAGGTGGATCTGTGGATAGATAAGAAGATAAGGCCCCAAAGTGGTGTGTATTTTATGACAGCAATTAAATCCTAAACATCGGCCACACTGTAGACAGATAGGGTATTTTAGGACAAGACCTGAAGCTAGAGGTGGAGGCACATTGGGGGGTATTTGACTCCTTAAGAGTTTTGCTGCTATTTTTAGCTGCAGTTCTTGTAGCAATTGAAACTGTTCTGAAAAGTCAGTCTTGACCGGAGAAAGATAACTTGGCTTGAAGGAGTGTTGGGACTTAAAAATTCTTCTGTGTGAATCACTCTGTGTGTTTTCACTCTCTTCCTGGGAAATAGGATCCTCCCTATTATAATATATCTTGATAGAAGACTCTGACTTTGCTAGGGCAGGAAGCTGGCCCTCGGCATATGAGATAGGCATATGCTGAGTGACTTCCTGGGATATATTACTGAGCTTTGAGTCTGTTTTCTTTGTGCCCAATCTGGTCCCAGAGTATTGCCGTATTATGGAAGCCGTGGAACCACGTGTCCACATCCTTAGAGTCCCTCTTTGATCAGGACTGTGGCATAAAGTATGTCTCTGAATGTAACTTTTGACCACTGAATGCTGTGAAATAGTACATGGACCATTCTCTAGCAGGCTCTGGGAAAATTCCATCAGTTCAGCTGGAACCCCAAATAAATTCTGAATAGACTTACAGATATCTGTAGTGGCTCTTTCTGCTAAACATATTCGAGAACAAAGCTTCTTTTCCATAGTCGTCCCCAAGACATTCCCTAGCATTAGCATAGCAGAGAGATATTTTCTAGGTAGTCGCTGCCTATTGACATGATTCTCCCAGACATTCTGTTGTCTGCCCAAGAAAGGCCGAGCAGAACCTCTTTGAGACCCTGATCTTCCCTGGAAAGTCCCAGATGGTGATCTCCGGCTTCGTAATGGATGTTGGGAATAGTTCTGGAGTGAGTCCTCTGACTTCTCCATCTGCTGCTTCTTAGTTATCTCCTTAGATGTGATATCCACTCCCACAGTCTCAGGATGTGGGGTTTCCACAATGTCCACTATATTATCAGAGGGTTCATTTTGAAGGTCCCAGAGAAGAGATGATGGCTGCATCATAACAGAGTCAGAATAGGACTCTTCTGGCTGCAAAATATATGTCCCAAGGTTCTTCATATCCAAAGCTCTTGATACTTCTGAGATCCCAGAACCCCAAAGGCTTCCTAATTCAGATGTTTTGACAGAACTTGAAATGAGTGGGGTTGAAGAGCTGTTTAGGGACTCTAAGAAAAAATCACTTACTTGTGACTCTTCTTCTGACATTGATTCCTTAGAGTCCCAATTTTGACACATCTGTCCTTGATTCAAATCCTCAGATTTCATAACTTTAGGAGATTCTGTTTTTATCTCTGAGGATTTTGCAGGCGTCAACTTTTGCTCATGAGTCAATATTGTTGGTTCCTCAAATGGAGATGTTTGTTTTGAGGCTAATTCTGCAGACATCACTCGAATACTTGGCCTGGGAGTTAATTTTACAGGTTGTGCCAGTTCTTGAAGATAAGGCATTGGGACTAAATCCAAATAATCCATTACATAAATCTCTGATCCCCTGGCTACTCCTATTGTGCCTACAACCTGAGGAACTGGTCCTGGTGCTAATTCCTCAGATTTTACAATTTGATACAATGGCCCTGGGGTTAACACAATCTTTTCCAAAATTTGATGTGTTGGCTCTGTGATTAATTCTTTATATTTCATATTCTGTAACCATGGGCTTGAGGTCAACTCTGAAGATCTTATGTCTTGATGTTTTGTAGTCAACTCAATATTTTCTGCCATTTGAGGTTTTGGCCCTGGTGTTGCCACAGACTCCGCATGTTTAAGTGGTGGCCTAGGGGTCACTTTCACAGATTCTACAACTTTGGGGGGAGCTGCTGGCATCACCCCTACTGATTGAGCAACTTGAATCTGTGATGTGACATGATCCAGTGGTTTTGGACTAATCTTCTTACCTTTTATAATTTGACTCGGTGGTCCTGCTGGAGCTATCCCTGAATTTTTCCTTCTTTGATTCTGTGACTTTGTTAGCCCACTTGATACCTTATCTTGCTGCCATGTCTCAGAGTTGAGCTCTATAGATTCTGCATGTCCCACAACTTGACTTTTTTGCTTTGGAGCCAACTTTAAAGATTCCTCTATTTCCAGTGATGGCTTAGAGATCAGAGTTACAGATTCTGGGACTTTATCTCCTAACCCTAATGTTATTCCTAAAGATCCCACATGATGTTGTGACTTTGGGGTTAATTCCATAGGTTCCTCAGAAGTAAGCTCCACAGATTCAGGACCTTGAATGTGTCCTAGCCATGGTGTCATCCCTGAAGCAGAATCTGGGACATGATATGATGGCTTTGGCAATGATATTTCAGTTTTTTCCCTTTGCATTCTTTTCTCAGAGATCATCCCCACAGGTTCTAAGGTTTGAGGATAGTGCTTTGGAGAGTTCTCAGCATATCCAGTAGTTTGACTTATTGTCTTTGGGATTGTTCCAAGAAATTCTTTCCCTTGCAACCTTGCTTCACAGATCAACCCTATGTCTTCTGTAGCATGATGCTTAAATTCTTGGATCATCCCTTCAGGTTCTATAACTTGCTGTAATGGTTTTATATATAACTCCCCCAAATCCTTAACTTGAGGCCATGATTGAGAGAGCATCCCCAGAGTTTCTGGGATTTGGTAGCTTTTCTCTGAGGTTAATTTTAAGGATCTTGAGCCTTGATCCCTTAGCACCGAAGCCAGATCAACAGATTCTGGTACTTGAAGATCTAGCTGTAGAGGCATTTCTGAAAATTCTGTGGCTTTATCTGTTGGCTTTGAGGTCAATCCCACAGATTTCTCCACAGTTTCTGTGTCTTTTTGTGCCAACTCTTGTGTCATTTCTGGAGATTCTGGGGCTTGGTAAATTGATATTGAATTAAAATTCACAGTTGTAGGGACTTGCTGATTTGGCTTTGGGATCATCTCTGAATATTCTACAATCTGTTTCCCTGGGCCAGAGATAACTTCAGAGGATTCTGTGGTTTGATCACTTCTTGGAGTTTGGTTACCAGATTTCTGTTTTTGAGGCAGTGACTTAGGTGCTAACTCCACAGATTTTACAGTTTGCTGCAGAGACACTGAAGACAATTTCAGATGTTTTATACTTTGCAACTTTGGCTCTGGAGTAAACTCCAAAGTTTTTACATCTTGTTGCTGTGATTCAGGACACAAATTTGAAAATTTGACACTAGCCAATGCTGGTCCTGTTAGAAACTCACTATTTGGTTTTGGTGTCAACATCACTGATTTTACACCTAAAGTCAACTCTTGGCAGTCCATATCTTCATATTGCTGGGACCTTGGCCTCAGATTCACAGGTTTTACATTTTGAAAACCTGAGTTCGGTGTGAAGATCACAGGTTTAACACATTGAGAACTGAGGCATGATGTCAACCCTAAAGAATTTACACTTTGAAGTTGTGGCCCTGGTTTCCACTCCAGAGATGTCATAGCCTGACAATATGGCTTTGGTGCAAACATACTGTGATGCTTGAGGTGTAAAGGCAACTTCTCAGAATTCATACCTTGAGGATGTGACTCTGTGTTTAATTCCACAGATTTCACTCTTTGAAAACGTGGTTCTACTGCATATACCCCATATTCCAAGTCCTGCAGCCCAGGGCCTGAAATCAATTTTACAGAATTCTCTCCAAAAGCCAATGGCTGTTTACTCATCTCTGTAGACTGTACATCTGTATGCAGGTGTAAAGATTGCACACCATTTAACTGAGGACCCAAAGTGAACAGAGATTGTACAACTTGCTGCCCTGACTCAAGTTGGTTCTCCAAAAATTGAAACTTTGTTTCTGCAGATAACTCAGATGATTTCATACTTTGCAAATAGGGCCCAGAGTTGAACAAAACAGATTTTGTACCTTGAGATTCTGACCCAAGATTCAGTTCAGAGGGCTTCATGGTTTGCACCTGTGGCCCTGGACTAAACTTAAAATTTATGCGTTCAAATTCTGAATTCAAGTTGGAAGAATTCGTACCTTGAAGTTGAAGATCAGAGTTGAACTCCATTGGTATCACATTTTGGAACTTTGTCCCTGAAGTCAATTCACATTTTATATCTTGTACATGATGTACAGAGTTGAATACAACAGATTCTATGCCTTGTTGCTCTGGCCCTAGGTGAAATTCAGATTTCATACTTGGAATTTTTATTCCTGAAGTCAATTCAAAAGTTGTAATATCTTGCAATACTGGCCCATGTTTGTATTCCATGGACTTTATAAATTCTAATTTTGGCTCTGAATTCAATTTAGAAGAATTCACACAGTGTACATGTGGTCCAGGGCTGCATTCCATAGGTGCTAAACCTAGAAATTTTGACCCTGGAGTCAGTTCAGATTTCAACCTTGACCCTGGAGTCAGTTCAGATTTCAAATCCTGTGAATGTAGTCCAGAGTTAACTATCATAGTTTTTTCCCTCTCTAAATTCAACTCACGAGGCTTTATACCTTGAAATTTTGCAATTGGAGTTAACTCAGAAGACTTCACACCTTGAAAATGTGGTCCAGGGTGGCACCCAATAGAATTTACAAACTGAGGTTTGGACCCTGGAACTGATGAAGAGTTCACACCTTGAAAATGTGGCCCAGGGTGGCACCC